TGTGTTCGTCATTTTGGTTAATTACTGGAAGATGGTGGTTCCAAAGCAGTGCTTCTCAAACTTCCTGTGGGAAAGATCAGGTGCATTTGAAGTTTTTGTTTATTAATTTGTTTTTAGTTTCAGGGACTGATACTTTTATACAATAAAACATGGATGAACAGAAAAATTCATTAAAAGAAAACAGTCATACAAAATACACAACCAATATCTTACTAGATTGAACAAAGTACATGTTGTTAATAAAATAAATTGATATAGAGCCATATTTAATTGTTTCTAGGGAGACAACTGACCAGGGGTTTCAACCTGGGATGGGAGGGTCTTTGGCTTTGCACAGGAAAGAACTCATAATCAAGTCTTTGAGAGTGTGGCCCATAGATCTGTGCCTGTGACCTGTTTAGTACCAACCCTGGGGAAAGGGGGACAGAAATTGAGGGTCAGAGACATTTGAGACAGGAGGGGTCTGAGGTGAGGGACATTTAAACAAAGTATGACAGGAGGTGGCTGAGAGGCTGGCCTTGAACCAGTTGGAACCAAAATGGCCAAGATGGCACCTGGAACAACCTTTGCCTGACCTCTAAACTCATTATACCCTGATTGTACTGTATTAGCATAGTAAGTGACACTCCCACTCATGTCATGACACCTTACAATTACCATGAATTGATTGGAATTGCCTGACTTTCCTGGGAAAGGGTCAGTGGTTTGCCCGACACAGGAAAATGGGTCAATGGCACAGGTCGATGGCCCACACTCCGAGTGGCACAGCTCTAGAGAGGAGAGCTTATGAATCCGAAGAAGCAGGTGTCTGCGCTGTTGAAGAAAGGCAACCCAAGAGGAAGTACCATGTACATGGACTTTGGAACCTTGAGACAGCTGTTCTATAACGGCCTCCTGAAACACAGGAAGGTCAAAAACAGTATCTTTAAGATTAGTGATGAGGACAGCTAAAGACAACACACCAAAGCAGAAGTGCAAGAACGCCAGCACGTGAAGCCAGTCTCCGGCTGAGACTGCACTTGCTCAGCCCAGCACAGCTGCTGCAAAAGCCATCCAAAGCAAACACGGCTCTCCCACAGCAGACTCAACAGAACAAAACCAACACCCAGACATAAATTAGATCACCGAGCTCATCTTGTTACCCACCCACTGTTTCAAATCCAGGATCCTGACTATAGTAACAAATGATACTGTTAACTAGCGCATCCATGTAAGCCAAAACCAAATAATTTGTTACTGTAAACCAACATGATTCTTGGAATTTTCCAGGTCAGCTACAAGAAAGCGTTATGACACTGTCTTCCCAATTGAACTAACTCTCACCCATGTCTAATTGTAGTTGCATGGCTAAATCCTTTCTCCCCCTGTGCATACAGCTTGCCTCTAAGAGCATCTAAACCCTGGCGACTTTTCAAAACAGGGCAGGCATGTGGTCAGGTTGAAAGGAACATGGAGCCTGGAGCCAGCACGTAAGGGTTTAAGGGCCACCTGCTAGCTGCATAATCTCAAACAAGTCCCTGAGCTTCAGTTTCTTTATCTGCAAAACAAGACTAATGACAGCTGCTTCCCTGGAGATACAGCTGGAAATGTTTAGCCATTTGTAGAAAGCTATGTGGATGCTAGTCCCTACTACCCAGAAACAAGCAGCTGAGAGATATTGGTAACTATGCCACACCCATCTGCACATCCTGCAACATCCTTATGTCCTTATGTTCCCAACATCATGGGGCTATGCTAGGGAACTGACATCAGTATGTCCACCTTGCACCTTTGAAGAGAGATCCATCCGGGACACATCAACAGTGAGCGATGACTTGAACATTTTTAGGGACATCTTAGGGTGCAACTGACAAACTTGGTTTGTCGTGTTTCTGGCTTTTCTTAACTTGACACCTCCTTGTCTCACCTTCTCTCTCTGGCAGGAAGTCACAGCTCTGAACTGGCTTTTGTTCATTCTTGTTAACATAGGGGAAGCTTTACCATCACCACATCCCTGTAAAATGAAAGCAGGCTACTTATCAAAACCTGTACTCTGGCACTAGACTTAACTTACTACAAGTTAGGCAAATGGTTTGGTCCAGGAGTCAGACTGTGTAACCTTGGGCAAATGCTAAGCCTCTCTGAGTTTATTTCTGCAGTTGGAACGTAAACATAAGAGTCATTTTGCCTTCTTCACAGACATTGACATGAAAACACAAATAATCATGTAAAGAGAATTTTGTAAATAATCTAAAACATTTTATTTATATGTTATTAAAGTATAATGTGTTATAATTACAGTATTACATTTTATTATTCCTATTTTCTTGTCCTAGAAAATAATTTGACAGTCTCTTTTACCTGCCAAGCACAGTGGCTCTGGATTTTAATTCTCCTTTATAAAAAAAAAAAAAAAAAACATGAAAGACAGAATGAATATATCTTAGAAAAAATAAGATCTAT